TTATATTTTGTTCTCATAGGGTTCTGGCATCCATAACTCATTAGTAATGCAGGGCATGGTATTCAAGAGACTAGTGGAAGGTGATATCACCAGTGCTAAAAATGCTAAAGTAGTTGTTTATTCATGTCCTTTGGATCTCATGCAGACAGAAACAAAGGTGAGATATTCTACAATAGACCAGGTTCTACCAAACAAACATCCCCGGAAACACAGGGGTAATGTTCTGTCGTTCGTTCCTCACTTCCAGAAAAAAATACCCTTGGCACAAAGTCTGTTAGACCTTGTTCTCGATTTGAAATTCAAAATGGCAGCCAGTAAATTCTGATTGGTCGAGTGATTCACTTCATTCTGATTGGTTGATTAATTTACCAGAACAAACACCAGAAGATTATCCCAGTGTTCCCGAGAAAGGGTGCTAAAATAATATCAATAATCTATCAAGGAACCATAAAGTTTTTTTTACCAACAATTAATAATTTTTTTATGTTGTAGGGAACTGTGCTTATTAAAAATGCTGAGGAACTGAAGAGTTTTAGTAAAGGAGAAGAGGAGCAACTTGAAAAAGTAACATCACTTTACTTTGTATAATAGTTATTATAATTGAAAATAATTAATTGATAAGCAACATTGAAAAACTAAAATATTGTCCAGACAAAAAGTGTTGAAGATTTTTGCAGTAGTCACTGAATATTATCAAGTCTCTGCAAAATTTTGATATCAAGCTAGTTGTTGCAGTTTTTTTGACTGCTCATTATCTCCTCTTGTGTCAAAGGTGTGCTTTGAAGGTCACACATCTTGTCGTTAAAGATTATATTGGATGCCAAGAACACTGTTTGGGTGTAGCAAGCAATTTCTTTCTGACTACACTGAACTGTTTATGATGTTTTCTCAAGATTTCTTTTCTTTTTTTCCCCATTTAAGTGATGTGGTCCATCAGCATCCCTTTCAAGCTCTTGCTCTTGTTTGAAAATAAATTTAAAATACAAGAATGTAATATTAGCAAAAACTTACTCTCTATTATGTCTTTATACTATATGAATGGAGATTCGACCATTATACCATTGGATGCAAAGCTTTAAACCTCATTTTCCATATATGAAAAAATTAAAACGTGACCGCATTGAATGCTGGTGGACCATGACCCTTTAAGTGTGTGGCATAATCTGTGAATGTGTGTATACAGTCTCTTGAGTGTTCAATATTATTGCCTTCTGTCTTCAGCAAGTAAAAGAGATAGTTGATGCTGGAGTCAAGGTTATTGTCACTGGTGGTAAAGTAGCTGACATGGCCATTCATTTTTGCAACAAGTACAAGCTCATGGTTGTGAGATTGCAATCGAAGTTTGATCTCCGCAGACTMTGCCGAGCTATCAATGCCACAGCATTGCCAAAGATTGTAAGTTAAAAGGAAGTAAAAATGTATTACATTTTACATTGCGTAGGCAATTGGGTATCCTGTGTTACAGTACATCCAGTTTTTGTTTTGCAAATAAAAACAATGTAACGCAGGCTAGCAACCGGGCCATTAGTCACAGCTTTCATTGAATCAGCAAAATATAGATTTGTATTGGTACGTTGGTGCGAAAAAAACAATTAAATTTCATTCCTGGAAAAGTGGGATACTAAGGTGAAAGGGTTAAGAAAGAAAGGATGGAATGCCGTGCATTTACCAGCAAAATAAACCAATCGGAGTATTCATACTATTACATTTATAATTATAATGTAGGAAAATAAATTTTGAGACTCTTTTCATGAATTATTACAGTGAAAATTGTTGCATCGCGACTTCTTTGTTTTGAAGTTTGTCTGGATTTTGTTCTTTCCTTCAGTCTGAGGGGTGGAGCTTTTCAAAAAAACTCGTTCGGTCATTGACTGATTTGTATCAAGCTCCGCCCCCAAGTCACAGAAAAACCTAAATCCAAACGTTTCCTTTGAACATTGAAGTCACGATGCAATGGTTTCTGCTGTAACAAAGACGTTATCTTGACAGACCACCCCTACTGCAGAGGAACTGGGATATTGTGATGATGTKAAGGTGGCTGAAATAGGAGACACACCCGTCATTGTATTCCAACAAGGTACAGTACTGTTGTTTAATTATGAATGTCAAAATATCAAATGTCCAAACAAACTCTCCAAATTTTGATTTTGTTGGTTGTAAAATTAGGGGACACTTTGATGTGATACTGGTCATTTTTGATTGGATTTTTGATTGTGAACACAGTTTCTACACCTTTCAAAAGACTGTTCAAATCACTACAAAGTTTCCAGACAAATATTGAGTGCTCACAGTTTTATTTAAGCAATTTACATGTAAGGCGCATTTAAACTGGTGATTTTTGCAGCAATTTTTGTGATAGTTTTAAGCCTACTGGGACACTACGATGAGAAGTTTCTTCACAAGGATAAATTAAGACATAATGTATACCATTTTTGAAAAAGTGGAAAGTACATTACGACTTCAACACGGTTTAATCATGGACACTAACGATTGGTATCGACTGCTGATATTTACTACTTAGGGCTCATAAAATATGAATATTTATCATATTTAGGCATCGATGATTGGTCAAAACCCTGATCTGAATCCGAAAGGCAAGCTTAACACTGGGGTGATGTTGTTTGTTAACATATCCTCGCTATCTTTCAGTAATGGACTTCTATATCTAATTATTCAAACCTAAACATGTCGCTAAAACAATGCCGTAAAAGCATCGCAATGACTGACGCCAGTAGAGCGGATTTCGTATGAGTGGGAAACAGACGGTACTGTACTGTGACCGTAATCGTACTGTAACCAAATTCTAGTGCCCCATTGATTCACCAAAATTGTGCAGGCCAGGTTCGGTAACTGTGCGGTAACCGTGCGGTAACGGTGTCCCACTCATACGAAATCCGCTCTATTACTAAGCGTTTTTGGTAGGCTCAAAGTTTTCAAAATGAAATAATTATCTTTGTTTAGTTTTGATAATGTTAAGAAAAGAAATAGATAACATGATTAGAAGCAAGCCAGGGGGAAAATATAGAGAGAAAGCGTACTTTTTGAATAAAACAAACTTAAGTATGAATGCTCATATCCGATTCGTTTGTTTTTATCATACGCGCATTACACAATATTATTATTTAGCAGATATCTAAACCTCGACATTCTTATGACTCTTCTAAATTAAGTCATTGCAAGTTTCAGCCAGTAACCATCTTTGAAAACTGTATTATGAAAAGGCAGAACAAGTATGATTATGCGGACTCAACATCAAAGTGGATCCCGCATAATAAAACTCAAAGCATGATCTTCAAAGAAAAATTTGCCGAGACGCTTGCACAATAAACGTAAAGTGAAGCTAGGAGCACGGCAGGTTAATGTATTGTAGCTACTATATTTCTATTTACAGTGTTGATACAGCCTTTTGCAAAAATTATGAGAATTGTTGAAATATCTAAATATCATAATATCAAGTGCATGATCCCGCGCGATGCCCTTAGTCCCTTGTCTTTTTTGTAGTTTAGTTGTTTTTGGCGACGGACTTATCCGTAGTTCTGAATATTTTCTCGATGTCAACAATGAATTATTCTAGCAAACCCGCGTGTTTTGGACAATATATGGATATGGATATTATGATATTTAGATATTTCGACAATTCTCATAATTTTTGCAAAAGGCTGTATTGCCGAAGTATATCTCGAAAGATAGATATAGAACATAACAAGGAGTATAGTGACTGGTTGTTCGAAAGCGCGGCTTAGCGCTGAGTCGGTGTGGTTTTCGTTTACCCTAACAATCTGGAACAACCGGGCTGGGTTCAGGAAATATGTTTTTTCATAATTTAAACAGTTCTCACGACATTAATGGCCCTTTATATTATTTCATTGAAAAATTCACAATGCTGGAACATATCTTGAATGATGTAGAAGTTTTTGAGTAAATAGCAATTGAACACTTTCGGATGGGACTTGGTTGTTCCAAAGCGGGCTTGCGCTATAACGTATAGTTAACTAAAACATATTTTTCGGTAACGCTGACGGTACTTAATTTAAAATAACCAGACTAGCTCAGTTCAGTAAAAACGATATTTTGAGGAAGTTCAAAATTAATTTATTTCACTGTTAGTTACAAGCGAATCAGTTATTTAGCTGCTGTTATTTAGCAGCATCGCACGCAAGTTTTTTGTTGTATTCAAATCTACTGGGTTTTGTTGAAAACATTATGGAAATATATGCGAAAGGGTTCTAGCAGAGCACAATGAAGTTAGAAACTTAAATGTAAGTGATGTTTGAAATGGGATTAACACGTTTCTGTAAGGTCTCTCTGAAATGATTGTTGAGGTCGCCATAATATATGGTATTTTATGCATATATACATATTAATTGACCGCACAGAGTGCGGTTCTTAGTGTCCACAATTAAACCGTGTTGAAGTCGTAATGAGAAATCACAAGAAAATCATCTTAGGGAGCTCTTCCTTAAAAAAGTCTTCAAGGAATTGCAAAAAGTCATTCTTTATCATCATTCTTCTTGTCTGCTGTTTGTCGATATCAAGACGCATGTGTGGCCGAGCGGTGAGAGCGCTGGCCTGTCACCTCTGTGGACTCACTTCTGTGGACCCTGTTCGAATCTCGGTCAGGGCGCCATATGTGATTTGAGTTTCTTTCGTTCTCTCCCTTGTGTCGAGGGTTTTTCCAGGTCTTTCCGGGTTTTCCTCCCTCAGTAAAAACGAACCATTTCTATCTGCTGTGCTCCGCGTTCAGTCGTTCGTTGCTATGTAAAGGAGGCGCCTAGCCGGCAGCACGCCTATGTGTAAGTGTCTGTAAAATTTGTCTGTAGTATAGCACTTCGACTTGAGAGCGCGTCGAGCTGCGTCTTTTGCAATTCAACACCCATGCTGCCATGAAGGACGATTAGCACCCAACACCTTTTCCTTTTCCATGTTCGACCTTGCCAGTTTAAACCAGTCTTTAGTAGTAATATTTTGTTGTATTTTTCTCATCAGAGAGGGAAGAGACTGCTGTCTCGACCATTGTTGTGAGAGGATCAACAGAAAACATTATGGATGACATTGAAAGAGCAATCGATGATGGTGTGAATAACTTCAAAGCGCTTACAAGAGACAAGAGATTTGTTCCTGGTGCAGGGGCTACAGAGATAGAACTGGCCAATCAAATAGCAAGATTTGGCGAGGTAATCTTGTTATAATTGTGTACTATGACACTACTATTGTACTATATGAGATTTTAAAATTTGTAAAAAAATGTACCTTTTTTTGTTTTTGTTTTTTTCCCCTTAAAAATGTTCCCAAAACTTGGGGTGCCGCTTACCTATGAGAGCAGCTTATACATTTGTAATTAATATGATACTTTATTTCTATATTTTTTCTTCATTTCGACCATGATAAAAATTACGCTGTGATTGTAATGAAATATATTATGGCACTGAACTATGGAACTGTAAAATGTACTGAATCCTTGGGAAACCTGACTGTGTTTTTGTGTGTCAGCTTGATGATTTTTTAATGAGCTTTACTTAAGGAAGCATTACAAAGCATACATTAAAGTTTTAAAACAGAAGAAGATAATTATATAATATTCAAAACTTGGTTAGAGTTGATATCTTTGTTCTTTTTTTTGCCTTTATTTTTCTCCTCAATCATTTCCTAAACTTGATGTGTGGCATCGATAACTTCAAGTTCACCTACACATGTTGACTAAATGCATATTTAGCGTTGCAATTAACTCTCTGTAAATTTCTTGTATATCAATGAATATATACTGATATGTTTGTTTATTTATCTGTTTATTTGCAGACATGTGCTGGTCTTGAGCAGTACGCTATTGGCAAATTTGCTGAGAGCCTGGAAGCCATYCCYAGRGCTCTTGCTTCAAATGCTGGAGTCAATGCAACAGATGTGATTTCAAAACTGTATGCAGCTCACCAAGACGGCAATAAGAATGCAGGCTTTGATAATGAGGTACTTTTTGCTTAAAGAAAATGAATGGTCTTAAACCAGGTGTAAGCAATGTAGGTGTGATATGATTGTATGGGCGTGAGGAGTTTTGTTTAAGTAATGGTCCGACTAAGAAGCAGGCAAGCAAACGGCAATTGAATGCATGAAGGTGCTAATTTTGTATTGTTATATAATCCATCCATCTCATTGGTTAAAACATTAAAATTTGACATAACTTTGACATTTTTTAATATTTTATTTAATATTTGATTCCGACTTCATAAAAACTTTCCTTAGCTTTAATATTAATAGCAATTCTATGTGGGGAACATAGCAAATTAGAAGCATTTTTTTGGCTATTGTTTTGAGTGCTTATGATTGGACAAGATCTTTTAATAAAAGAAACTTTGTTTCAAAACAGAGTATATACACATTTTACTTTAAAATGTGTTACCCATAGGTTGATATATAAGATCAGTGTGAAGGCCAAGACATTTGTATGTGGGGAAGTTGCAATTGCCACAGAACAATAGAAAGTTGCCTGCTTTTTGCCCGCATTGTTACTTAATGTCATCATAGGCATTTCATACATGTTCATGTAGATTTTTTGAATGAGTTTAAGGGTCTGAATATGAGAAGGTGGCATGATGATCACATATACATGGGAAGACTTGCTTGTAATTTGCCATTTGTTATTGCCATTTGTTATTGCTGTGAAGATCATGAAGCTGTAACAGACAGCACATAATTCAGACATGACTGTATTCAAAAAAGGACTTAAGCTGNCATCAGACTTGCAGCCAATGCTGCTGTCACTGTATTGAGAGTTGATCAGGTAAGGGGTTTAATATAAGCAATGGGCCATCAGACTTGCAGCCAATGCTGCTGTCACTGTATTGAGAGTTGATCAGGTAAGGGGTTTAATATAAGCAATGGGCCATCAGACTTGCAGCCAATGCTGCTGTCACTGTATTGAGAGTTGATCAGGTAAGCGGTTTAATATAAGCAATGGGCCATCAGACTTGCAGCCAATGCTGCTGTCTCTGTATTGAGAGTTGATCAGGTAAGGGTTTTAGTATAAGCAATGGACCATCAGACTTGCAGCCAATGCTGCTGTCATTGTTTTGAGAGTTGATCAGGTAAGGCTTTGACATTTTTCTCACAAATTTGAATTTTTCATCTTGTAGATTATTATGGCCAAGCAAGCTGGTGGACCTAAACCAAAAGCTAACAAAGACTGGGATGAAGATTAACCACTCCCCTCTTTTTATTTTTTGGGATGATTACTAAACTCTCACCCAGATAGTAAAATTTTTTGTTAGTAATAATTCTTCATGGCATTGTGAGTGTAATAATATGAATATTATAGTGTTTTACTGATGCCAATAAATTAATACTCTAATCAGTGTTTGAGTCGACTTGATTATTATAATTGTATCGGTCAATATAGCCAATGTGCTAAGATACCATATTAGGGGTATAGAATGGTGACTCAGAAATCGTGAGGCTCGCCAAAAAATTTCCAGGGCTCGTAAGCTCAACGCTTAAAAGAAAGGGGCTCGGATTTAAAATCGCTATTAGCTCGGAAGCTTGAAATTGTGGACTCATTCAGCCAAAGGCTCGGGCTCCAGATTTTAAAAGGAGGGGCTCGTAGGCTCAGCAAGGCTCGGATTCCTCTCGTGTTGAAAACCATGATAGGTGCTGTATTTCTTAGTCTGCATGCAGGCATACATTCATTGTTTTGCCCCTAATCAGAAATGCCTGTACACAGGCTATTGCAGTTGCAAACATAGAGGCAGTTGTGCTATTTCTTCAATAAAACATAATAATGGCTTTCAGGGAGATTAGGGGCTATAAATAACAACTGTGACCCATTATGCTTTCTTGTAAAAAATGTTGTTCAGTGTCCATGTCGCCTGAGTTTCATCCAGCGTTTTATTTTACTTATAGACCAGATGTACGCAGGCTGTCCGTGTTGTCGTGTAAACACAATTTTGACACTGATACCACCAATATCTTGAATTAGATTTTAAGTAATGGCCCTAGTAAGAACTACAGAAGCAAACGGCAAAGGAATGCAAGAAGGTGTTAATTGTGTATTGTATAATCCATCCATCCCATTGGTTCAAAAAAGAAAATCTGCTATAATTTTACAAGTTAGCGCATTTTCTAATACTTTATTTAATATCTGATTCTGACTTCATGAAAGCTTTCTTTAACTACAACATTAAGGCAATTCTATGTGGGGAACATAGCAAATTACTCAAAGCTTCTTTTGGCTATTGTTTTGAGTGGTTATGATTGGATAAGAGGTTTTATAACAAAAGAAACTTTGTTTCGAAATAGAGTTTATCCACATTTTATTTCAAAAATGTGTCACCCATATTAGGTTGATATTTAATCACTGTGAAAACCAAGACAATTGTATGTGGGGAAGTTGCAATCCCGCAGAACAATAGAGAGTTCTACAGTTCTTACGCGCATTGTTACTTAATGAATTAAGAAATTTCTTCTGGTATCTCATACTCACAATCCTTGACATCTTCCCTTCCCCTGCCCTTTGTACAGGACTAAACAAACACAGGAGGCCATAATTACTAGAATGGTCTCCTGGCAAACAAAATTTAATAGTCACCAATGATCTGTCCCTTCTCCATTCCTAGACAGGGTTCCCAAAATGAATTTTTGGGTGCATTGACTATAATGACATTGTTTTTTTAGGGGGTTTTTATTGCCTTCCTTGTTTTTATTACTTCCTTTTTCTTTTTGTTTGCTTTTTTGTTTGTTGTTGTTGTTGTAATTAATTATAATTAATGAGAAACATTAATGAAAAATAGGAAACCCAAAAACATCATAACCTTATTAGTGGGATTCCTGTGTAATCAATTAAAAATGGCGGCGTCCAGGGCAAGATGTGGACTATCCTTATGCTCAAGATTAGCAAGRACACGATGKACCACAAGTGTTAAAGGCTTATTATTAGATACTAATAGACTAGGGAAACCATTATCTTCAATAAGTACGAACGATTTGGTGAGTATATGACGTAAAACGTGGATAATTTTCATTTCTTGTCAAGTCTGTATAAATCTGCACGTGTTTACAATAGAGATTCTGTAATTTATAGGYATCTACCGCATCAAGAAAGCTTAGATCTTTTCAATTTAGCACGTCAAGTGTCGTTTCTGTTATTGATAATCTGAATTCGGTGGTAAGTAGAACGAATGTCATCATATTTCATTTCCTATGCCATCTTGGGCAATGTGTCAGTTGTAGACTTGAAAGGCACAGTTAGCATACCTAATGYAACTTATATATTTTGCTCCGACGAAGGATTAACGTGAGAAATATGTCATTAAATCTCACCTACTTTTTATGGTGTTACAATCTTATTTTTCATAAGTGTACTTGTAATTAACTCAATATTGCCTATTCTACGTTTTCAAGTTACATTTGTACATTGCAGTGGCCAGCTTTGAGGAAATTTCTCATTAGTATCTATTGTTCATACCTCCAACATGGTCACCAGTCTTTTAACTTTTGAATCTCATAGAAAGATTGAAAACGATCAGTACGAATRGTTGTAAAAAAGTATGGTTGTGTTATTAGATCCCTGAAGACCCTGGAAGTCGACCGACCAGTACTGGTGGAGGGGTTTCTGTAGCTGAGAGTGAGGACGATGATGGTATAATGTTTGAAGTGATATTTAAAAAACTCGTAGTTCATGTTTTATCGTGAGATATAAACACGAGGCCGAAGGCCGAGTGTTTATATCCACGATAAAACACGAACTGCGAGTTTTTTAAATGACTTCTAAAACCCAAACCTAAGAAACTACAATAAACATGAAATAAATAAAAATATTTCAAAAATGAATAATTGATGAAGATATCTCCATCTGAGCATGAGCAGCAATCAACTTGGTTTCCCACATCCAAGCACCACTATTTTTTAGTGTACTGTGACTCTGCAAATAAGTAATTTTAACTCGAGGCCTAGTGAAGTTCTATGATGAGAACTTTTCTAGTGTTGGGCAYACATCGAGTGTCTGTAAATCAGTTACAACACTGATGTTTTATGCATGAGTGTTATAACTAACTGAACCGGTTAGTTATAAAACTCATGTTTAATTAATCTGTTTATAACTTGAGTTATAGGTACTGTCATGTGACCCACAGTTGAATGCTCATTGGAAGAATGTCTAATGAATAATTCATRAGTTTTAGAATTTACATCTATTCCAGTACACATTGTATTTTTTCGCAATAATATTCAACATAAAGTTGTAAAAATACATATTGCAATGTCTGCGCAATAACATTGAATTTAATAAAATAAAATTTTGATGTTGTTTCATGTCTTTACAACTGAACAACATTAAATTGACTGCTTGTATTAGATCCCTTTATGCGAGAACAAATCAGAAGGCACAACAGRCATCGCAGATGGCTGGCAACAATAATGGGAGAAMATCCTGAAACTTTTACTGATAAAGATGTACAGGTATCACACACTTGATATCCCTTTTCCCATTTCTTGTTTTATTCCCATTCAGATTTAAAAACTCTTTTTTATAGAGAGAGTGCATTAGGCTTATTAGTGCTTGCCACACAGCACTTTGAAAGCTTATTAAACACACTGACCAAGAGAAAATGACATTGTTATCAGCATTGCAAATTGAAATATAACTTGATACTAATGTATAACTTTCTTTAAGAAAGTGCACTTCTTCAGGTCTCCTGCCATATGATACAGTTTTATAAACTTTAGAGMGAATATTGAGGCATCATACTCCAGTTTCGAGATCTTATTTGGGCAGCCTTAACTTCAAAAGCATGCAATATATTCTTTTAAAAAACAGAGAATCTACATGTATTGTTATGCAAACACTTTGTTTACAAAGAAGACAATCAAACATTTTGCTTGATTGAATCTAAGCATGCACCAAAGAGAATTTGACTGTAGTATTACCACTTTGACATACAACACCTTTAAGCTCTACATGTTATGCTCATACTGTAGATCCTCTTATACTGTAGTTGGGATACCTGTTGTGCATAGGTCTTTGTCCTTAAAYTGTAAATGAGACACCTATTTAATATGCTATTGTTTTATTGTGTATAGGAAGCAATTGAGTACCTTTTGCCATCAAGCTTGTATGCAAAAGATGCCAGGCCAATGCTAATGGTAAGAAAAAATGCATTCAAACAACAAAGGATGGATAATTTCTGTTCAATTATCAAGTGATATCAACCACACAGGGATGTTGGGAGAACTAGAATTAAAGATTCTGTAAAAATCACATCATAAGTAATTTTTGCATTTATTAGTGTTTTTCCAACATCCCCAAGTGTTTTATTTCACCATGCTCACAGCAATCTATCCTTTTATAGTTTTTGCAATAGAAAATTAGTTATGATCGAGTGTGTATTTACGAGTGAAATAGATCATTAGAGTTATTGGACCAATTTTTGGACCAAGTTTTGAGCCAGGTAGCACCACTCGGAACGGGTCTCATGATAGGTTGAGAAAACAATGRACRAACAATAGATAAGTCTTCCAACAATATAACAAAACCTAACCTAACAATAGTGGTGCTGTACTTAAGGAGCAATCAAAAAGCAGGTTTCAATTGGTACTGCATTACTGCAAGTTTTTTTATTGTTGTTAAATTATTATTATTAGTATTTGCCGTATGCGCTGCAATCCATCCTTATTCACGACTTTCCATACTCAGGTTCAGTGACCACGAACAACAAAGCATTGAACCGAGGCGTCAAGCAACAATGATCACAGATATTTTCTTTTATGCTCACTGCTCACTGTACCTTGACACCTCGGTTCAAGGCTTTGTTTGTGGTCATTGAACCTGAGTATGGAAAGTCGTGAATTGCTTTAATTATAATAAAAATATAGAAAGTTACAGAGTTATGATTGAACATTGCATTTACTGCATTTACAGGAGACTTTCTGTCGTGATGCATAATGATAGTTGCATTCATGTTTTTGGTAACATTGCTGTCTTTGATGTACACATTTATAATATATATTCCCATTTTATTGATTTTACAGCATCCTTATGAGGCGTACAAAAACAGAGCAGGTACAAATGTTTATTGTTATTATTATTTAATGTATTAAAGCAAGAACTGAAATTATGACCTAAAAGATCGAAAAATTGCTTAATTTATCCAACATAAGATTATAGTCGATAATAAATAAAGTTTAATTTTACTTATATGAAATATACACTGAAATGTCGTCTGAGACACTAAAAAGACTTGATTTTACATGTACAAATTTAATACCGCTGTCCTTGTTGTACCAGCCACTGCTGTCTCGCCAGGAACATTATAGACCAAATCAGAAACTAAAAAAAATGTCATGAAAACATAGCATATGAGTTCCAAGCATTCAGATACAGACCTTGCATGTGAGCTGCATCAAGTAACTGTCTAAAAAAGATAAAAAGACAAATTTTAACACTGTTAAAAAGGATGAAAAAACTTACTGATGTTTCAGACATTAATCCTTCTCTTTACTGAATACTTTGATGAAGGATTAGCGTCCAAAATTATGCATACTTTTTCACAGTGTTAAAATTTATATATTTTGCACAACTGTTGCTGTAATGCATCTTACTTTTGACGTTTTTTTCATCCAGGTAATATGTTTGATATCAATGGACGACCTTTGGCTGCTGCCTTCTATACTGGTAGAGTTGGATACCACAATTTGATTTTTGTGAGTACAATTTCATTGTAAACTTTGATCTTATTATCACCTATTCCAATTAATTTGTGATTTGGGCGTCCTTATTATTCTAAGAAAATTGCATTTCATTTTAAAAATTTACATTAATTTTAATGTCCTTTGAAATACCTACATGTAGTATGTCATGGCTTATAGAAAATTGTGAAATGAAACAAAACAAAGCAAAACCCTTTGTATACACTCTGAAATTGCAAACTGCAAAATTATTTAGTTTTCCAAAGTTTCGTTTCATTTTGAAATTTGCTGTAAGCCATAGGTCATTCATCAAAAACAACTCTACATGTCGTATGCATATTGTACCTTTTCTTGACAATATTTTTTGGAGGAAAGCGATATAAAGAGCTGAGTTTTGACACTTGATTATGATATGTTCACCATTCCTCTTGTTCTTTTGGTATTGATTCTTTTACTCAGCTTTGACAAAAAAGAAAAAAATTGAAGTACAGGTTAAGAGTATTTAACCAATAGACCTCGAGGTCGAGTGGACTACGAGCTAATAGCCCATATGAGGCTGAGTCCGCAAGGCCGAATGGGCTATTAGCTCGTAACGAGGCCGAGAGGTCTAATTGTTTTAGTATAAACATACTAATCGGTCAAATTATTAAAACAAATTGAAATACCCTAAATAGAATGATTTATTAATGAGATTGATTTTCCTGCGAGTGGTCTATCACAAATTAGACCATTAGCAGAGTAGCCAATCACAGCGCAGTATGAGTGATAGACCATTAATATGTTTATACTAAATGGTATTAGTTTCTTTAGCTTGCTAACTTACTTACTTACAAGTCAGAGTATTTTTCTTAAAAAAATATTTTCCACTTTACAATTGCTATTGGAAGTGTTATTTTGATCAGCAAAGGTTTGGAAATAACTAATAAAATAAACGACAAAGACAAAAAATTACGACGTTTCGAGATCGACATGATCTCATTCTCAAGTGATATATTTTATTTGAGTGTTATTTACTAGTTATTAAAATTATCATTCTTTTAATTTTTGTTTGTTGTGCATTTAGGAAATTTACAATCAATTTGAGCGATTAGAACTGCTCAATACAACTGATGGTTATTCCAAACTAACTGGAAATTCAACACAACCGCAAAATAWAATGTGAGTACAATTAACTGAATTGATGGAGAACGTTATTGGAAATTAAAGAAGGTCATTTTTGGTCACTCAAAACATATTCGAATGCAATTAACAAACATAACTGTACAATTCCCTGTTGTATACAGGAATCTTTGAATTCACAAGTCATTTCAACCGATGAAAACGACAGTCAGTCATTGAAACGTTGGATAATTTTACATTTTTCCACAATCAGSAACAATTTTATACACTTCTTATAATAATATAAGTTGTAATTATTTTWATATTAGATTTAATTATTTCAAAATATTTTCTTTAGAAATGATGATCAAGAGAAACAAACTGAGCGACCAATGAGATGGATAAAAAAGAGTGAATTGGAAAATAGACTGGAAGGAAGTGTAGAAGATAAAGAGGTAATATGTAATCTTCAGCAACATGCAGAAATTATGATCTTTTTGATTCATATCCCAATCATATATATTAAAATACGTCAGAAATGTTTATGGGATATCAGCGCTGATGGTTTCCTAGCACTAGTACTTTATGAAAAAACTATTTGCAATGTTATCACATAATTTCATCTGATATGTTTTAAATACATAATTGAGATATGAGTCAAAAAGATCAGAGAATTTCTGCAATTGCTGATTGTATATATATATTCATGTTTTATTATCTAGGTTCTAAGTTTTCGGAAATAAATATTATGTTAAATTAAAGAAAATAGTAAAGTTAGAATAAAAGAGTATAAATAGTTATTATATTGATTTTATTATAAAGAGTATTTTATTGATTTAATTTGTTTATTATTTAAGATTTTCATGTACATATTTGTACAGTACATTTGCAACTAAATTAAATAAAGTAATCAATTTAAATGTTTTACCATTCAGTATGAAGTTGTTCTTCATCGCCTTAAAAAGCTTGCAGCTCAACCCAATGCTCATCTTGTRTGGGACTTTTTACAAAAGTTTGTCTTCCCTGTTTCAACTCCTGGCATTAAGCAAGTTGCATTACAGGTAATATTGAAACTGAACAGTACACAGACAATATAATTAGTCAGGCCAGCTGATTCACTTAGACGGCAACTTAGTTCACTCATTTGACTTAGACGACGACACAATCTCGTACCCAGCGCCCTTGTCCCTCTTACTGCGCATGCTCGACGAGCCTGTGAGCCTGCGAGTAAGAGGGACAGTGGCGCTGGGTACGAGATTGACGACGACATTGTCTGGTTTCCTAATTAACTCAGACGTTAAAGTGTCTACCTACATGTAGCTGACTTAATAAGATGACTTGTCTGGCCAGCTGTTTGACTCAGACAGAAAAGTGTCTGGTTTTTGGTCGATTTAGACATAGTTACTATGATTTAGACGGCTAAGTGCCTAGCTAACAGTTCGACTTTGACGAAAAAGTGGTTGTTTAACTTATGTACTAAGACGAAAATGTGTTTGGCTAACTGTGTGATTTTGTTGTCTGGCTAACTGGTGTGCAGTTTTGATGGCAAAATGACTGATTAACTGATTGACCTACAATTCAGTATCATGACTAATTGTGCTCTGAATTTACAGTAGTACCTATAAGGATGAGAGAAAAGAAGATAATTATTAATTATTTCATTTAATTTTGAATATTATTTTGATCCAAATGTTGTATATAGCTGTATGCTTAAAGGGACACTGTCAATGGCACGCATGCGCGAGTAAACTTGAAAACACTAGGCTAGTGTTTTTAAGTTTATGACTCCAAGTTGGCGAGACATAAATCAGCTCGTAAACGTAAACAGATCTTGAATATTCCAAAGTGTGTCAAAAGCACCACAAACTGATTTACCTCGAAGGTAATACTTTCAAAGTCCATTAGAGGCGAGACTGTTACTACGCATGTCATCCATTGACAGTGTCCCGTTTAACTAATAGTCAGAGTAGTTTAATCAAGGGCATTATCCTGCATGATAGTTGCCCATGGAAAGAGCCAGACGTCCCAAAAAACAAATAGTCGTCTAATTAAAATGCATTTCAAATTTTTGAATTATAATAATGCCTAATAGTGGTGTACATCATTTCCTTTCTTTATATAATTATTGATTATTTTATAGCTTGATGAAGATGGAAGAGCACATGGAACAGGTACATGGTGACATATTTAAAAAAATTATACTTAGTACATACATGTAATACTCCTTCTTGAAAGCTAACCAAACCTTTGCATCAAAGCGAGACAGGTGCTGAGCCTGCAGAGGTTAGATTCACAATTATTCACAGGTATCTATCATTGCAAGCTCAACGGCTGTCTCGATTCGATGCAAATGCTCTACTACTTTATTAAAGATGACGAACTATTTTGTATCCCTTAAGGCATGGGATAATAATGTGTAATACTACAGGCAATCCACACATTAAAAAGCTCATTCTTTTCTTTTCTCTCAAGAAAGAGTTGGGCAGCCTATTGTATGTTGGAACTGTAAAATGGAGTATTCTGTTAAATTCTAGCTACCGAAAACGTTGTCTTTATTGCTGTTACATTATTATTATTTTGATAATTATAATTTTTCTCCAGGCCATCGTAAAAGAGCCATAGCTGAAGTATGGGTGAAGAAAGGTTCTGGTGAAATAACAATAAATGGTCAACCGTTAGTCAAGTACTTTGCAAGAATAGAAGACAGGTAAGGAATACTATAATTGTTATATCTAACTTTGTCATCCTTGTGAAAATGATAAGTTTTTTGAATGTAAAAAGGATTGAAAACTGTTCCTAGTACTCCTACAGTCGCAGCTTCCTTAGAACAACACAGTACACARTTTGTGGTGGTCGGTCTAAGTCTCTATAACCAATATTTCTTATTGCAAAAAACTTCTCCCATAGAAAATTATTTCTCTATCACTCTCCACTAGCTACGCTCATCCATTACAAGAGAAATACATTTAGTACGTGTAATAACTTCTTGTTCTAATTTCATTGTATTTATTAGCCTAAATAGCACTTATCTGCMTTTTTTGTTATAATTATTTCCTGCAATTATTAAAATGATTTGTTTATGATTTTCAGACAACAGATATTATTCCCATKTCATGTTGTGGAAGGTGTTGGACAATATGATGCTGAGTGTAACGTCATTGGTGGAGGACCTTCGGGTTTGTTATAATTACTACTTAGTCACACAATATAAGATGAGTGCTCATCAATATACATTGTATACCTAGTCAAACATCTGTCTAAGCCATAGCTGTAGATATCCCTTCTCATTTTCACTCTCCTGACTACAGTTGGGCTTCCTGTTTTACATTCATGACCGAGGGAGACTGTTGTCACCCACTGAAAAGAGGATGCCAGAGGGATCCCAAAAAGGCATTGATAATAAACTTACAAAGGAGGCTTTTAGCTGTATTAATAGTACTCTCACAGTGTTGTAAAATCCTTTTGCTTCCATTTCCAAGTTGCAGGGAAAAATCCTTCACTAGTACAAGTTCCCAGGGGGAGGGGAGAGGGAGTTTGTGCATCCCCTTGCAGCCATCAAGTGGATTATCCACTGGAATGTCTATTTTGATTATTGTGTAATGTCAATACTTTTCTTATTGTAGGTCAAGCTGGAGCCATAAGATTGGCCATAAGTAGAGCTCTGTTGAACTTTTCTGTTAATTTTCAAAGCCCATTACTTGAAGGTGAATATGAATTTTATCAATTTAYGGCTACAGCATACATTATAGGTCAATGTATTCGCAATACATTTGCGAAGGATAAAATAATAATTATGATTTATTGATTGACTGGTTGATTGGTTTCGTTGATTGACTATTTGATTGATTGATTAAGTGATTGAAATGTGGTTGACTGACAGACTAATTGATTTTCACAGCGGGTCTTTTGATAAGAGATCCAAGAATAGTTGAAAGAAAGAAGCCTGGACAGAAAAAAGCAAGAAAGAAGTTTGCATGGTACAGACCTTTCTATTTTCTTTTTCCCTTTCAGTATATAGAAAGTCAAATAATAAGTTAATGATGTATTTTGTATTATATTARTTGTGATATACTGTACAATACCTAATCACATACATTCAAAGTTATTTTCAAAGTTGTAGAATTTTTGATAAAATATCTTTATGGTGAATTACATGTATGTATATTTTTGGAGTATTACMTCAAGATCTAACATTCATCTGTTTATTTTGTAGGGTAAAACGATGAGAGATTTGCAAAGAATTTTGTATAAAGTACTTACTTTTTTATGTTACTTCTGAAACTCATTCAAAAAGYCCTAGCCAACCTTGTCTGTGGCCTGCAGTTTTAGAGGCAGCAAGAATTCCTAAAACCATACATGTAGGCCGCTGGCAGCACTGGTGGTAGAAGTCAGTGATTTGTAAAATTAATATTACTTTGTCTAATCAGAGGCATTAAAGTTCAGGATGTTACAGCTGTAATTTTGTTATGGAACTCTAAATAATTATTGCTTAGAGTACAAACACTAAAACTGTGCAACATAAATACCACTAAATACTGCTAAATTATGCTAATTCTATTGTTTTCTATTGTTTAATTAACACTATTTTGTAGTAAATAGTGGAAAGTATTGCACACATTTGATGTTTGTACTCTAAAGTGTCATCCCATTTTGGGCTATTCAGGTTTCCATCATTGCACCCCACTTTATCTCTATGCTGAGGCAATTTTAGATAATAAACAATGCTGTAGCAATAGATCTAATCAGCTAATGCATTGCTATAAACATTTCCACTAAATTCAAACCACCCAGAATTAAGTTTTCTTTGTTCAATTTATTTTCATTCCACAGTTGAATGAAGTTGAATTCAAATTAGAAACAAAGTTCTTTTCCAACAGGATTTGAATTGGGTAGTAACGACGTACATGGCAATGTGTTAGCTACATGGGGTAATAAGGTTTAAACAATTGTAGATTGAGAAAATTCTCTAATAAGTCCTTATTATCAATTGCAAAAGTTGACAACTTGTTGTGTTTTGTACGAATGGTCACATGCATCAGCTACTTTACTTGCTAATATGGTATCCTCAGCAGTCACTATAATATCGGCTTTCCCTTGGATTGCATCTATAAAATGATTTAGTGCACCCTTGTAGGACTCAGCATAGCGCTGTGGGAAGGAATTGTGGCATTTGTTCAGGTTAACGCCTCCTCCACCATGAACCTGTACAGCTGTAGGTCTTGGGTTGTCACTAATCATCATAGCTTTGTCACCATGCACCTCAAGCCGCTGGTCATAACCAAAAGGTGATGTACGATCAAGATTGATTGTAGTATACCACTTGGGAATTTTAAGCTTATCATAACACAGTCGACATCGTTTAGTTCTGCGACACCTGGAAGAAAGGCGTGGCCATGTGCATACACAGTGCTTGGTGGCTCACCAGCAATTTTCAGCACCATGTCAATRTCATGAATTGCACAATCATGAAAAATACCAGTTGACATTTTGAGGTATGAAATTGGTGGTATGCAACCATCACGACTTGTAGTGGTGATGCTATGGATGGTACCCAGGCTACCATTTCGTGCTTCWTSWATTACCYTGCTGTGTCCTGGGTCAAAACGACGGTTGAAGGAACACAGTAAAGCCAGTCTTTTTCTGACAGCTTCCTCGTAACACYGAGCTGATAATAAAGAAAAATATAACATAAATATAAATTTTTAAGARTAATATATGCCAATTCTATACTTTTTTACAAGTTAACTGAATAGTCTTCTTCAGGGTTCCCTGCGCCATCTTGAAAGGTAGCCGTGCCTTTGCATCCAAGCAAGACAACCGTTGAGCGTGCAATGATAGAAACCTTCTTTCACACCTACAGACAATATTCACAGGTTTCTATCATTGCACGCTAACGGTTGTCTCGCTTTGATGTAAAGGTACGGCTACCTTTGGAGATGGTAAGGGTAACCGTAAAGGAGACTATTGGTTTACAAGTTCACTAAACTGGTTTGTTCAAAGAAAAATGATTGGATGGGCTGCCTGTGTACTGACAAACTGGAAAGTCGCAACTTGCATTGCATCCCCCCTTTGGTGGAGGAAAGCGTGTTCCACAGGAAGTCCAAATATTAAAAAAAGGCTAAAAAGCACGATACCTATAGCTGCTCTGTCGTTTGAGAGCGGTTTCTCGCAGAACACAGCTTTACCGGCCTTCAAAGCGTCCATGACGCATTTCTCATGAGTTGGAGTTGGCGTGCAAATCATGACGGCYTGAACGTCGTTATCTTGAAGTACAACTGCAGTCTCGAATGCACTAACAACTTTAACGTCTTCTGCTTTTAAATTTTGCAAGAATTGGCCAGCTTTTGCCACGTCTTCCTCAACAACGTAGAGAAGTTTGGCGCGACTGTTCGCAATCACATTCCGTATGTGAATGGATCCTATACTTCCTACGCCGTACAATGCGATGCCGATATGGCTGCAACTCATGTCAAAGATCTTAAGATTTACTTCAGTAACTGGTCGCTTTGAGAGCGGTAGTGCCTTCAGATAATTCAATGTTACCTATTTTCGATTGACTAATCCATACCATACTTTAATACAAGGCTCGGTGACC